ATTCTGTTTATATGATACATTAGAACAGAGTCGTATTTACTTAAAACTACGACTATATGCAAATATACATATAATTTTATATGGCCGACGGCCACAGTATTATTTTCATTTCTTAACGCGGGCTATATGGTATTGAGATTTTTTTATTTTAAAGTCGAATTTAGGTGGGGATCCTCAGGAGTTTCCCGAATCAAATAACAAAAACTAAACATTCGCATCACCGAGAATTAGTTTGAAGATTGTCGAAATTCAGAGATTACAATAATAATGTTTACGATAAAATGTACTTTTCGTCATACTGACAACGATAGGAATATTGTCGAGTTTTCTTGTGCATTCTTGACAATGTTAGGGCCCCCTCAATCGCGGGGCCCCGGTGCACAGCATCCGCCGCACCCCCCCGATGGCCGGCCCTGCATTAATCTATATGAGTTATACAGAGACTCGTGTAAGAGAGGTTGCAGCCGAAGTTTTCATCTCTAAAACGTTTACGCTAGTACCAGTCAGACGTGAACGTCGAGATTTCTGTTTGAACAACGAAAACACAAAAAATTATCAGTAGCGAAGAACCAAATTTGTACTACAATTCCTATAGAGCAAATTGGTCATTTTTTTAAAAAGTTTTAATTATTGATACTTTTATTATTAACGCCCTAAATGCGGATAGTTTATAAACCGTTGGGTCATTAGAATTTGCCGGAATATACATCGAATCATGCGTGGGCTTGATGTAGACCTTCGTGCATAAAGTTCCATTCTTAAATTCAATGCTGACGTCCAAGAAGTGTAGCTCCTTTTTACTAATTTGCTCCAGGTTAAGTTTTAAGCCATGTTGGTTTGAGTTCACTTGGCCTAAGAATCGTTTTATCATTGCGTCATTCTTCCAAATAATTAGATCATCATCTACATATCTTTTATACATGATTACGTATTCATTATAGTTGATAAGCGTCATGCGTTCTATTTTTCTCACCACCAACTCACAGAGCAGGCCAGACATCGGGCTGCCCATCGGGACACCCCTTAACTGCTTATAAACTTTACCTTGGAAACTGAAAAACGACTGAAAGCATATCAGATCAACCATTATCTCTAAATCTTTTCTGTGTTCGTATGCTTTTGGGTGTAACTCACATAAGAGGTTCACTAATTCCTCAAAACACGAGGTAAGATTTATTGATGGCAACATACTATCGAAATCCATCACTGTCCCAATCTCATTGTCCATTAACGATAGATCATGCAGGTCATTAACCAAACTAAACGCGTCCTTTGTGACAAATTAATAGTTTTCAATTAGTTGTGTTAAATGCCTATGCATACGTTTTTCCAGAATGTATGTTGGTCCTTTACACTTCTCTACTAGAATAGAAACCTTAGGGTGAGGATTAAGGAGCACCGATACGATGTCGCAAAAAACAAGTGTACAACAGCATTATCCAAAATGGCGCAAGCAGATGGTTCGGTTGTTAAATGGGAGGATGCCAAAATTCTTACAAAAGTTGTCATCCATAACTGAGAAATGCGAAATTTACAGAGCGAGTTTGGCTGACAGATGTTTAAATTATAAAGATGCGACGGTATTACCGTCATCCTGGAAATACATAATAAGAAGTAACACGTCTGCCGTGACTCAATAGATATCTGGGTTGATGTATAAGGAATTGTTCCTTAGTGTTTGCGGCCAATCACCGTATTTT